ACCCAGTTGTTTTTCCCATTAACCTTTGTCTAGAAAATTAAGCTGCCGGCACATCACGTACAATGATGTCCTACACACACACATAATAATAATAATAATAATACACAGAGACCCATGTCAGTATCAGGCCATAGGCTTGATAAGAGTGAAGGAAGACACTGTCATTGTTTATCAATCTTCTGAAGAGGATGCTCACTGTTGTCCTGATATTCTTCATTTCATAAAAAATATTTTCTGTGAAATTAACTCCAGATGTTCTAGACGAGTTGTTAGAACAGAGCCAGCCTTCTTTATCAGCTTGTTGAGCTTTTTTAAGTAATTTGCTCTGATGCTATTTTTTACAACAGATAATGGTAAAAGAGATCCCACTCTCTCGCTCTAAGATTTTTTTCTCCAGTGTCTTGGATCACATATTGGATTTGAATCTATTTATTTCAAAATATATGGCATATTACCCAAAATCTAAAGTTTAAAAAATCTATTATTTAAGAAGTGCACACTGTTAATTTGTTATACTCATCCCATACTAACAAACCCAGACTATCTTTCTCTTTTTGTAAGTGTTCATGAGCCTCAGCACAGCAAATTAGATGAACTCAAATTAGAAATAAAAAATATATAGATACGCAATTTTAATTTTTTATTTCAAGAAATTTAAAAGGTCTTAAAATTTGAATTTACAGACTTTGAAATCAACTCTGACTTGACCGTCTTTACTAAAGACTTGATGATAAAGACTTGAAACTTACTTGAGACCCACATAAAAATGGCTTTGTCCAACCTCTGCAGATTTATTTGAGATAAGATAATAAAAATATTTGCATAACAAGCTTAACAGTTCAGAGACATTAACACAATAAAAAGAGCTTAAAATGAACCTTTTCTTTTTCTAAATTTGTTTACAATACATAGGAATACACTTCTACTATAAATATTTATCATGCATTTTCATCAGTAACATTTTCTTCTTCAGTTTCCAACATTACCATTTTAGATAAAACTTGATTCAGCATTTCACAGGTTAAATGACACATATTATGAGCTGATTTAGTCTGAAACCTACTAGACCGTGACTGACTGCAGGTGCTGGTAAAACCTGCTCCATTTGCATTCAATCATTTTATTCTCCTGCAGCTGCCTCCGAAATTAGCCGTATTATTATACTTTAGGAACATTTAACCTTCAAAGGTAGAATCATTGAAATATTACTAAACAAAAGCTGAATTGACTCCCCCTTTAGAGGGGAGTGCAGAGGTGATTTTCAGTGGCTGCTCCTTCCACCCCTTTGTTCATTGCAGCCTCACAAAGCCTCCATTGACATCAGGTCTGTAATGATTGCTGCACTGAAGCATGAAACAAAGAAATAGCGTCGGCCTGGTGGAGGAAGGGAGGAGAGCCGCTCAAACAGTCAGTCGATCTTTTTGTGAGTGTGTCGAGATAAAACACAGCGAGGCAGATCCTTCAAATAGGCTCTGCGGGAGTTGGGGAGGGGGGTAAATGTTAAGAGATCACAGTCGAATGCATTTTATGACAAAAAGGGTGAGGAGAGGGAGAAATGAGGGAAATGGCTCTGGAGGTTCATGAAACTCAGATGGGAAATTATCAGTCATTAAAAAAAGTCTCCTAGGGGTGATTAATCTGACTAATGGTGCTAACAGGACTGTAAGGATGTTCTAAAGAAAACTGACAAAAATGTTTGAATAGTGAACTTCTACATCTATGCCACCTAATGATTCCTGTAAGATTATGGTTCAGTTGTCAAAGCATAGCAGTGATTTTGCATGAAAATCAGAAATAAAACATTTTAATTTCTCTTTTAAGATCCCATTGTATAAAATCTACTACAACATCTGTTATTCCAGCTGACAGAGACGACAGGCGTGGAGTGCACAGCGCTGCAGCCTGTTACCTTGCAGAAAGAAAGGTCATGGGTTTGAACTCTGCCTTAGGTTCTGTGAATGCTCTCCTCCTTCTACACATATGTCTTATTTCAACAGGTCAAAAACATGCATCTTACTTTGATTAGTTTCTCTAATTTGCTCTTTGAAGTGACTGTCCTGTGATAGATGTTTGATTGGTCCAAGGCGTACCCTGCCTCCTGCACCAAGACAGCTGTCAGTTAATTACTCCAAGCAGAAAGACTTAGTCTGATCACCATGCATGCACATGCCTTATAACCATTACCAACACTCCAGTCAATACTGGATAGAAGACATAAAAAAAAATCACATTGCATGGGAAAGCTATAATACTGAATTCAGCCTGCATGTAGTGTTGCTGTACTGGCACATCATGTCACTGTTTAAGGTGATGTAGGCAGAATGTGGCATTTACTGATTTTACAAGCAGGAATGTGCACAGGGTCCAATCTAATGGAAAAATACAAAAAACAATTCATAATTCTAAACACCATCTCTGTCAAAATATATGAAAAGTTGCATATCAGCCAAAATACTTACTAACAGTTTAGCTCGTTGTGATTTACGGACCCAAATACGCGGCAGAAGCAGAATCAGCAGTTCTTCAGGGCTCCTTTTAAAAACTTTGTGCTTGTTTATTACCCAGCTTTCCTATTATTGTCAGTGAACTGTGCATTTGGTAAAAAATGAATATGACTGTATGCTATTCTTACAAGCAATTGTATGAGCATGTTTTTAGTTTCTTTGTTTGTTTTCATAATTTCCTGATTACAGGAAAATTATTTAGGTAAATTTTACTGTGAATTTCTTACTAATTTCTCCTTTAGATTGTTTTGTTCTCATGGGTGAATCATTTGAAACTGACTATTCTGATGTTGGGGAGAAGTTTTTACTACGGTTGCTGATAGGTTTGCAGGGCTTTTTGAATTCACAGCGAATTCAAAAAGCCCTACAAACACAAAAGTGAGAGTAACATGAAAAAAACCCCACACATATGCAAAGGAATACCACTGGAGAATTACTGTAACTGCAAACAATTGAGAAATAGAAGTGAAAATATGATTCGAACCAATAAATGATGCAAACATACAAAGCACATGCAAAGAGAAAATACTAGCAGCAGTTGCAAAATAGCCCAGCAAAACAGAAGTGTTTCAGACTACTAGGTAGAGATACTATTAAACTAATTTGGGCCCCGCCCCTTAGTAAATATATAAAAAAGATGATTGGAGAGATTAAGTGTTTAAAAAAAGGTTCAACAGAAAACGTACTGTACCTTTTTTCGCTTCAAGTGTCCTCTGGGCGAGCTTCCCATTGTGTTTGTGCAACAAATCTGGTCTGTGGACTTAAATTTGTAGTAATATCCATGTGTGTAATATCCATATGTGTGGGTGATTTGATCTCCCCCTAGTGGTCTGGAGCACATTTGTTATGTGATACTACTTTTCAGGTTTTCTTAACTTGAATTTTTTTTTTTTTAAATACTTTCAGCTTTTTCCCCTTGCATTGATTTTGTATGTTAGCATAATTGATGTACTTGCAGTTGTTTTGTATTTGCAAGGCGTTTCCACATTTCTGTTCTCAATTCTTTCTGATTGTATTTATCCATATCAGCATTTTTCCTTCCTAGGTGTCTATTCCTCTGGTTTCATTTGACGTTTTCTAGACTAATTTTTGTGTTTGAAAATCGAATGTTTGTGTTTGCAGGACTTTTTGGATTTGCTATGAATGAATGCGTTTGCATGGTGTTTGTCAGTTACAAACTAGATGCTTTATGCACAACAAATGTGATATCTGGGTTTGCCGTTTGCCTCAAAAACAACACTTTCAGTTTTTCGTGCTTTTTCTTTTTTCTGTTTACGCACTTGAAACAGCTTGTTGAATTTGTTTACATTTATATATCATTTTTAAACTTACTCCACATTTTCCTCGCCTGGTTGAGCTGCAAAATAATAACAATCATAAAATGTTCCAAAGAAACCAAAAATATTGGCACCTGAAGAGTTTCTACACTTCATGTCTTTATTAGGTTTGTGAAGACAGTAGATATTTATCCATGTTAAGGTGCTCACAATAAGTAGGCTACTACAAGAAATCTTTCACCTCTCCATCCAACAAAATATGGAATGTTCAGGTGTTTACTCAGTCTTAGCATGGTAGCAAATACATTACATGTCTGAACCAAAATGCATGATAAACAAAGTGTTGCGTCACATAAAAGTATGCTCATAGAAAGCATTTTGTGCCCATCATAGTTGTGCATATTATTGTTACAGTAAACTTCACATTACATAGTATCATAAGTTACTTAATCTAAAGCTGCCTCATTGACATGGTAAAGAAATGTGAGGTTTTGTTTTCATCCTAAGCAGCAGCAGGAACCAGACTTTCAGAAGGTTTGAATAACATTTAATCAGTGAATCACAACAACATTACTTGGTTACATGATTGCACTAAAGTCAAACTTCAACCCAATTCCTTGAAGGCAAAATGGCCACGAATATATTTATGACTGTAACGGAACCCTTTTTGGGTTCACAATTATACTAAAAGCAGTTTTACAGCAGTTTTCTAAAACAGAAAAGATTATTTACTATACACAATAAAAGCCTCTCCATAAAAATGTAATAATAGATCTGTCACACGATATACTGCATGTTTGATTTACATATAGAAGTCGTTCATTGTGCAATAGGACATATTTGGCACAAAGGCAATATAACAGTAGACAATCTACACAAAAGTCACAACAGTGGGTTGAATTGACTGCTTTAGATAAGTTGTTTATTTAGTGAAGTGACGTCTGTGATGAATGCAACACAGTTAATAATAATTACATTTATTATATTTCAATTATTTATGTTTGTGTCTGTGTTGTGAAGTTTGCATATCCTTTTGCTATATGTAAAAATATATCTGAATTTAATTTTAATTGAGTCAGAGTGTGGTGGGATATTCTTCATGGCCAATATACAGGCATAGGGGAGGGGTAAGCCCTGGACACTTTTTAAACTTTTTAAACTAATAATCTTTTTAACTATAGTTAGTATAGTTACCTGCAATACATGTGTTTTTTTCTCAATTTTCTCTATTCTTTATGACATTTTTAATCTTTTCATCCTAGAAAAACTGGCAGTATAGGTTTAATGAGCTATTAATAAAGGGCCTTTCATTACGAGATTTTATTTTGTTCTTTTCCATATCCTTACACCGTCCACAACTCAACTTGAGCCTGCAAAGTCAATTTTAACTGTACAAAAAAACACCACACCAATTCTTCAATTTTTTTTGATACAGTGGCTTGTAAAAATGATTTTGCCACTTGTTTCTTGGTTTTTGCTTGATTTTTTTTTTTGTGGATCTCACACTTAAATGTTTGAAACAAAACAAAAAAAAAACAATCACAGAAGCAGTAAGACAACATGAATCCCATGCCACAATCTGAAGAAAATAAAGAACAGGTGAAAAAACGAAGCCACTAATATTTAGCTTTCGTTAAAAAGCTAATGAAGTATTTTAATGGGAAACCCCTCTTGAGAAAAAATTGAAATACATGTACAGCCTATAAATAACCTTTTATAATCCCCAGGAGGTTTGGAAAAATTACCCTCTGGACTGAAGAAACAAAAGTGGATTTTTTGAAAGGTATCTGGTGCAAGACTGACAAAGAAATTTAGAAAAACAGAAATAAAAGCAATGCTCTAACATGGCGGTGGGGTGTAATGGGTGTAATAATCTAGAATGGTTCATTTGTTTACTGTCCTGCTTGTTTCCTGCCTGTTCTGGAACTTTCTATAACTTTCCCAAATATCTTAAACCATTTTTTTTGCAGTATGATCTTGAATGTTCTGGTTAGTTCTGAATTTCTCTGGAAGTTTCTGATCCTTGCATTTTCCACAAAGTTCTAGAATATTCTACTGTATGTGAACATTGAGCATTACGTCATGCAGCCAGGTGGAGCTCTGAGCTGGTCACACTTGCTGGTTTGAACCTGTATTGTAGGCAACTGGTTTCTGTTAATAACAAATTCATCACTGAAGAACACCTGTGTCTGTGTAAGTAAACAAAAACCACAAAAGGAGAATCTCTGACTAACAGTTTGAACTTAATCACAAAATGAATTTGTGTCATTCTGTAGGACAATGCTCCAAACAACCTCCAGTAAAATCAAGTTTTTATTGAATACTTGAAGGGGAAATAAGAGTTTGGAAAAGCCAATTTAAAGCCAAGATATAAATCTGGTTTATGTCCAATCGCATAACATTAAATAGGCCTTTTATACTCAAATAACATTTCCTAATTAAAAAAAACAGTTTGACGCAGAGTGAGTCAAAAAATCTAGATTCCCCCAGAGTTATGTAAAACACTGATTGATGAAGCCAAAGGTAGAACAATCAGTTATGACATTTAGAGAGATATTACCTTTACCCATGGGGGAAGATTAATTTGAGTATATTTTATTTAATAAAAAAAAATAATTTGAAAATGGTGTCGTACATTTACTCAAGTTATCTTGATTTGATCTTAAAATATGTTTGATGATCTCAAACATTTAAGTGTGATTAAAATGATAAAAACGAGACATCTGTAAAAGGGGCAACCATCTCACCAAACATGCATTTGTTTGTTTTATTTATCTTTGATAGTTTTGCTTTTTTATTTTTCAAGTCACAATAACTAACAAGGTGCATCGAAGGTACAGTACCTTTCTACAGTTTTCAAACATGATGGTTGTAGAAGCATATACTTGTCTAGGAGCCCAAAAGATGAGCAAATTCTCACAGTACTGGTTTCTGATGTAAATACGGAATGACTCAAACATGCACCAAAGAAGCTGGCTGTGTCTTTTCGCTGTTGGTAACCAACTCATAATGGAAACGAATCTCCAATACAGAACATATTCCCTCTGCAAGACTGAGCTAAACAACATAGTGTTGTCATCAGCATACCTGGTGAAAATCTAATAAGAAGTGACAAATAATTGCACCTGCTGCTTTTCTATCTACCTGCAGCTGCCACCTGAGCTGCTGTGCTAACAATAACTTTTAGATCAAGGCAAAAAAAAAAAAAAAGATGTCTATCCCCTTCTTTAATATTACACACAATCTGAAAAATGATTTTGTCAGGATCTCTACTAATGAAAAAATACAATGTTATTGCTTACGTAAAGTTAAGTGATTAATGCCTTAGGCTCCATAAATCCAGCTAACAGTTAGCAGTTGATAACATATGATTCAAAACTCTCAGTTGATCTTAAAAAAAAGTAAAATAATTACTTCCAAATAGTTCAAGCATTGGATGTGTCTGTGCATTAACATCCAACATTTCTGTTTGCATTTTAAATTCTTATGTACATTTTTTGTAACTGATTCTCTTAGTAGCATCATCAAAATACAAGAAAAGATTAAATCCCCAAATTGCCTTCAATTAATTTCTTATCTCATATAATATTATAGTTAATGTATGTATATTTATGCACACAGTACTAAACTGACTCCGCCATCTGTTATTCTCTAAACAATAAAACATTTATTTTTCTTTTATAAATCATCTAATGTATTTGATATACTAATTTTAACATAGCTTTATGTAATCTATGAATAGATTTTTTTATTTATTTTTTTTTTACAATATTTCATTTTCTTTGTAAACAGGTTTATTTCTACATGAAAATGGCCCCATTTCAATTTCCTCACCTTGACGATGGGGTTTATTTCCATTTTGCATAACAAACAAGAATGCCACTGTGCTCTATTTCTTTCTTTTTTTGTTGGATGTGCAAATGTTTTAAAATACATACATCACTTTTGCTAAAGACAGGACTGACAGAAACACGCCAGGTTTACTATTATTAGTTGTGCATTACCAGAAAACACCTGTAAGCATAAATTTCAATATTCTTAAAAGGCAAATGGAGCATAAAGCAAAGCTTGAGGCTCGTTCTTGTTGGAGAACATGATCTGCAGATGTCTCTCACAGTTCAAGGCCCAGTCGCTCAATCTCCTCGATCAGGAAGTCGATGTCTGACCTGGTGGCTGCAGGGTTTGAGATCACCATGCGGAAGAAGTTGACTTTGTCTCCTTGCGGTTGGTAACCAACCATGGTGGTGCCGGACTCCATCATCAAAGCCTTGATCTTGGGAGCCACCTATATTGCAAATATTGTGCAGTTAGAAATTTATTCTAAAGTGCCTTAAGAAGGAGCAGACAACCCTTTAACTCTTTTCAAACCTTCTCATGTTAAAACCACAGGGATTAATCTCTACTAGCGCGATTTTAATTAGAGCGAAAAGAAAATTGTTCTTCACTGTGAAGAGGAGGGAAAATGACATTGATTTTCAAACTAAATTAAATGAGAGAGTAGAAAAGTGTGGTGAGTATTTCTATTTAGAAAATCCTAAATAAATCCATTTAAACTAATTGCCTTCTGAGGTTATCTAAACATAAAACAAGGTCCAATGATGTATAAACTATTCTCCAGCTTTTCTTTAAAGATCTCAAGGATTTGCTAGATACACTTTAGTTAACCAATAGGGTGGGTCAGTAAGAAAGCTGGGAAGAGATCTGAAGCATAAAACAATAATTCAAACATGCTGATATTTTTTGAATTTTTACGGAATAATTCAAACATCTCACACAGCACTTTTTAATCCATGATCTGAAAATGTAAAACAATTTGGCTCAACTTTAACCCTTATGAGCCTTAATGGGCTCTTTGGACCCGGTGGGATTTAATGACTTCGGCTAAAAGTTATCAAAGTTCTAGCAATATTTTCAAATGTAAAGGTCAAAAATAAAGCATTAGTACTTTTTTTTAACACTAATAATGAGTTTATTTTTTTGTCTTTGTTTTTCAACCTGCCTGCTTTATAAACATAATTTTCCATCAAATCTAAATGGGACATTAAAGAAAACATATGAATTCCTTTGTATGTAAGAGCTTGATCTTGTTTAACTCTAAAACTACTAGAAAATAAAAGACTGATATCCTAGAGGACAAACCTATCAAGAAAGTCTTTGGGATTTTATACAAATGCATTTCAAGCAAAAAAACAACATCCTTTCCGTCTTACAAGTTGTTCTCACATAAAATTGCCCTAAAGAGATACAATTTTTTCAAAATATAAAATGTATGACAGGTGTGAATTATTTTGCGTGGCTCTGTGAACCACTAAAAGACTTCTTTCCAATTGACATGTGAGTGTGTTCATGACTGAGCCATGTGTCAGGAGAGGAGTCTGCAAAGAGCCTTAATTTGCAGAGTAATGAGTCATTACCTTGTGCAGTCTCTCGCACTTCTCTTTGCCATCAGGCATGCCGCGAAGGCTCGGTGGAATGTACCAGAAGCAGACATTAGTGTGCTGTGGCTGATAAGAGAAAACATTTGAAACGGTGCTGCTTGTCACTGTGTCAGCAAAGTAAAATGATCTAATCAGTTCCAAAACCAGCGTAATCATGAATATGGCCTCATTAGGTAGATAAAAGCCTTTTGGAAATTGGAAGCATGGAAACAGCTTTAACCTTACCTCTGATTTGAAAACCATCTCAAATCCCTCTCTGTTTTTGATCCTGTCGTAGAGGTACATTGACAGATCCAAGCACTTATCAATGTGCTGCTCAAATCCTACGGTTCCCTAATTTTGTAGACAAAAGAAAAATGAAATCACATTCAGTTGTAAAATATGGGACAGTCTGACAATAAGCAAAATCAAATAAATTCTAACCTTAGCCTTCCACATGAGCCAGAACTTGAAGATATCAACATGGCGGCCACACTGAATGGCTTTATCCCCTGTGTCATATGAGACATCATACTGTTTGTCTTGCTGGAACAGGTAACCTGCACACATGGAGTTGCAGCCTTGTAATAGCCCCTGCAGAAAGAACAATGACAATAAGAGACAAACTGTAGCAAAGTGCACCACTTTCAACTTGGGTGATAACAGTAGTATCTGCACAGGTGGAAGAGTGGACAACAAAGACTTACCCTCTCTCTGACCAGAACGGCAGAGCACTGCAGTGGCACTCCCATCATCTTGTGAGGGTTCCAGGTAACAGAGTTTGCCCTGCAAAGATTTGGAAACAGTAATCACATCTGTGTGAGGGATGGAGTGAGTCAAGTAAGCAAAATCAACCATCAAACAAAAGACAAATTATAAGGACATGGTTTCAGTGAGAGCAACCTATAGATAATTAGTCCTTTAAAGAGGAAGAAGCTGAAGCCTTATTATGATTTATGCAACTAATTTGCATGATACGATGATGTTCCCTTAGTTTAAAAAAACACGTACAGCGTATAGCAGCATTTGTCGATGATTACCGGTCTGTTTAGAAAATGTATTTATTGTCATTGTCATTTTACAGTAGCTGATTTTTAGTAGTTGATGTAATCGTGAAGCACTTTGGTCAACTGTTTTTAAACGAGAAATTGAAAGAAGAAAAAGTATACATTATATAATTACAATAATGCTTCTCTTTCGTGTAATACAAATTCTGAATGTCCAGGCGAAATATGCATCTCTTACATTTTCAAAACTAAAAGCAAGCAGTGATCACAGTTGAGTGATTGGGTTTATGTCTTAAATCTAGCATTTAAATATTCTCCCTATAGATGAGAGATCTAATGCTTTGTGAAACATCTGACAGTGTTACATTTCTGAATATCTGATTTGGATTTCAGCCATGTATTAAAAATCACTTCTCTTCATGGATAGTATGCTAACTTTTTTTTTTTTCTACGTGTCAAATATGATTGCTTTGTAAAACGAAATCAGTGGCAGGAGCATCACACTTTAGAGACAATACATAAGACATATATGCTGCTGCTATAAAATCAATATAAATGTTACTCAAATGTTAACACAATGACCAGAAAGGTCCCTCCGACAGAGGGAATACCCCATTTTCTAATTTGTTCAGCCAATATTTGTTTCACCCACTGGTTTGTAATCATAGATTTATTTTATTTTTATTTTTTATTTTTTACAGTGTCCTGTCTGGCAATGTGGCAATAATAATAATTGTCTTGATGCCAAAAGAGCCCAACAGATTTTACTTTCACAAGTGGAGCAGTAGGGCTATTGCCATAGTGTTCTGCTTGTTTCATGCATATAAATTGCTTTATTATAATTATGCAGGGAGTTTTACAGATTATATGGACACTGCAATGTAAGTAGAACAGGAAAGAAAAAAAGAGAAAAAAGATGAAAGAAAGAGGAGATGATAAAACATTTTCAGTCTGCTTCATCACCTGCAAAGAGATGTAAAAAGAACAGCACAACCAACGGACATGGTACAAGACATACAATAAAGTAACACCTAGATACTCTCGCTGAAGTATAAGTAGTATAATTTAATCTGACATGTACTCTGTGTTACCTGAAGATAAGAATAACGGCTTTCTGTATGGAAGTGAATCTCTGAGTACCTGCTAATCATATATTTGATATAAAGCTTATGGACCAGTTTCTTATTAAGGGTGGAAAAAAAAGGGCCAAACAGAAGTGAAGTCCTGCCAATTTACGTGTACAATCTACATATGGGATATAAAAAATGAGGTCACTTCATTAAACCATATATAGTTTTTACTTAAAAATACCAAATGTTTCATATAATGTACTTTGTCATACTATTGTTTAAAACAAAACAAAGAAAAAAGCAAATCCTTTGTTCAGAATAAGACATTGTCTTCAAATGAATAAAATTCCAGGATTAAATTTACCTTTCCACTCCATTCAGTTTGTGTTTGTGTTTCCTGGACATCAACAAACCTCCTCCCCATGCAGCCTGCACAGTACAAAATGCTCTATTAGGATACCCCTAAAATTACTGATGAAAGTGGTGCAATGGATATTAAACATTTTATTTTGAGTTGTGATTAACATAATTATTCACTTACATCCACATGAAGCCATATGTTATACTTTTCACAGATGTCTGCGATCTCATTAATGGGGTCAAAAGCTCCATAGACAGTGGTACCGGCAGTGGCATTCACAAACATTGGAACATACCCCTGAAGGACAAAAGCAGGAGAGAAAAGGTGTCTGAGCTCTAGGTTCAGCTTTCTTTTTGGCTCAGAGTGACTTATGTCAAAGAGACGTGCAGAGAAAAAAAATTTTTAAAGAAGCCCATTTTTTGCATTGCATTTCTATTTCTTCTACTCTGTGCATCACAGAAATGACTTCCTGGTGAGGCATTTTAAAACTACTGTAGCATGATAATGTGAAGTGAGGGCAGCAGTGGTCCCATTAAAGGTGCCTCTCTGCCCTGGCGCACAAAGCTGGAGCTCATATGAGTGTTTCTGACTGTAGAAAGTAATGGACAGAGGGAAAGAAAAAGATTTCAGAGGTGATGTTAGAGGCCTACTTTTACCTTTTGCTTGGCCTCAATTACTTTTGCCTCCAGATCAGCAGGAATGACTCTCCCTCTGGAAAGAAAAATGGAGGCATCATTATAATTATCATAATTTTTGTTGTAATATTCTTTGCTGAACTTTAAGAGATCAAAGCTAAAACAAACCTCTCATCTGTGTTTAGAAGGATAAGGTTCTCTGTTCCAAAGCCTAGAGCTGCACTTGCTTTCTTGATAGAATAGTGGCTCTGCAGGAACAAAAAAACAAAAAAAATTACCAGTCACACATAATTAACCCACTTTAATGTAAGCTTAGGCCTATTTGCATAAGTTAAGATGATCAGGGATAATTTTGGACTAACATGCTCTGAAGTGAAGAGCACCAGCCGGGGTGCTGCTGCCATGCCTTTGGTTTTGACTTCAGGGAAGAACTTGTATCTGGCTATCATCACGCTGTACATGTTGGAGATGGCACCGCCTATAGAGTCCAACAGTGTGCATATTTACCATCATATGAACAGAAAGAGAAATTGCATTCTACCACAGTAAAGTAAAAGCAAGACAACATACTTTTGCTTACCACACAGTGTTGTATATGTCTTTTGCTCATTTTGCTCCCTTTTTGGCCTAAAATCCAGAGCTTGTCCACAACAGTGTAATCTCTTTTAGATTTTTGCCTCATGCTTCTGAAGTAGCGTATAGACAGATTTACAAACCTCTCATTGCTTTGTTTACTCTCTGCTTGACTGGTTTCAACAACGTTGGCTTTCCGATTAAACCTGGACTGTTAATGACTGAATTCATTCTGCATTTCATTTCTCATTTCTATGACCAGCAAAAAGATATCAACAGAAAAATGCATCGATAAGAGCAACTAAAACAGGCTTAAATCAATGGCAACCAGAATCAACCAATCTGTTTTACCTCTTTCTTGAAATGGAAACAGAACACCAAAATCAAAGCTTAAAGGAGTGTTTATACCGTTAAATGCAAGGTTTTTCTGGCATCTTCATGGGAGAAACCAAACTGAAACTGCATTAACACATTGAGAGTACAGGAAAACCAGCAGCTCAGGGCAAAATTTAGCAGTCTACTAGTAGCTCAAGAGCAAACAACACAAATTTGATGACAACAATGTTTAATTTCTAAAGGACAGGGTGCAGTGAAGGTGGCTGTTTATGTTAAAAGTGAGAAGCTAACACTGAGCAGAATGGGGGAGGGTTGGTTTCAGGTTCCCAGCATTTAATTAGGCGCTGAAACTCATTCCATAGAAATTCCAAGCAAGCAATCTCATCGGGATGCAGGCCAACATGTTAACAACTCACATTAAACAATAGACTATTGACCCAGAAGAGGGATGGTCAGGTTGTTTATTTGCATCTGACTTGGAATGCTCCCATAGGAGGAAGGGCCTCAACTAAAAGCTTCCAGAATTGACAAAAACTCCAGAATAGGTGTTGAAACGTATTCGCAAAATGCCTGCGTAAATTCTCAGTCATCCCAGCCATGGTAACCACAAAGCATGCTTAAGTTGGAAGGCAACCAGACTTTCGCTCAGTTTTTGAATACGTTTAGACACCTATCCAGGAGTCTTTGTCAATTCTGACAGTTCGCATCACAACAACCACTAGTTGGAGGGCTGATGTATTTAAGCAGCATGGAGATCACTTTTCCTGCACACATTCCAAATCAAATGCAAATAAAATAGCTACATTACCTACTGAAACATATACTTCCTGTTTATAGAACTTAGAAAAAGTTAGAAAACTGATTACAGAGGAGAAATTAATAATACAGAAATAATGTTAGGAAATCACTTGAAACATGTGGTTATCTAAACTGGGTGTTTATTTTGGCCCCAATAAGAATTAGCAGGAAGAACAACACTGCAAACACAGAGGAGAAAACAGAGACGCAAAAACATTATAATTCCATGTGTCAGGAATTACTGTGAAACTCAGAAGGATTTTGTCGCAATACAACATACTGGTTCATTTTCAAACTAAACAACAGACTCAAACAAAAACTGGTTCATCCTAAAGACAGAAAACCGAAACCCAAACTGAACAGTGTTGTTTATGTGAGTCTGTGCAGCAATGACCATACAGCCTCATATAACGGAGAACCTACACAACTACATGAACGCATGGCACAGCGAGTTACTCAACCCGCATTACAAGTGTTTCCATTAAAGATTTAACTGGCCTGGGACCTGTTTAGCTGGTCCCTGCTCAGGAGCAGTTCTAATCAATGTAAGAAAAGAAAAACAGGATGCAGTTCACTAGTTGGCCGTGGGAAAAATAGTTTTGTTTACTGAGAAAGTGAAGGGAAAGCATGAGCAACTAGAATGATATAGGGGACCTTAATCACCTTAATGACCGCATTGAGTCAAAGCAGAAATATAATTGTATTATTTGCAAATCAAGACCTAAATGGAAGTGCAACAGATACCATGCTTCGTGTTAGCTGGGTCTGTGGAAAAGGTGTGCGTTGGTTATGCTTTTACCTGGAGAAAATATTCCATCTCCCTCTCCATTGGGCCAGCCGATTATCTCCCGCATCTTTTTGAGTGTCAGCTGCTCCATTAGCACAAAAACAGGGGCGATCTCATAAGTGAACCTAGAGCAGACAAAATGATCACAAGTGGTAAAAATTCAACCTGTAGACTTTTCCTACAGAAAAAAACAGCACAGTTTTATGGCTTAAAGTAACACTGACTTCAACAAATCACAATGTCAGCATTAGGTTTATCATAGTACAGATATACAATGACTTCATGGGTAGGAACACCTCAAAAAGTTGTATCAACAGAAACTAAAGTGTGAAATTTCAGCTTAAGTGTGACACTGAAAAGACACTGCAAGCTGTATTGTACCTTCATCAATAAGAAAGTTGAAAAGGCTGTGTTTTAACAGTTAAATAACTTCCTAACAATGACCAGTTGCTTCCATGCCTTCCTCAGGCTTTCGTGCTCAAAGAACAGACTGCCTTTGTCAAAATGTTCAATGGTATCTGTGTGAAATGCAGACTGTGGAGCCACAGTGCTGGTATTATTGGACCCTGGTTCAACATTTGATACTGTTTAGGACTATTTTATTAGTGGTTGAAAAACTGTGGGGGCTTTTCTGATATAGCACTGGACTGTTTAAAAACATTTTTAAGAACATGTTTGTGTCAGTACATAACCCCATCAGAGACCACAAAATACATGAGGTGTTCCCCAAGGATCCATATTAGGTCCCCTCCAGGTCCATACACACAAGCTCCACATACACAGATTATAATACACAAAAGCATAGCTTACTAAATGCAAATAACACACCGGCTATATTATGATATCACCTGGTGACTATGAACTATTGTTGCACCAATACCAGTATCGGGCGGGGCCAAGATAATGCACTAAACTTGTGGTATCGGTGAGTACCAACAAATAGGGCACCGATACCATTTTGAGATCCAAAAGTTTATTCAACTATTGTCACCCATTCCAGGTAGGTAATAAAAAGTTCTACTGGATTCACTTTGTATTAATCTTTTTCCTGCTTCACAAAGGTAGGCAGCAGCTTGACAAAGCCATGATGGCAATTATTTTATTCATTCAAGTAGTATGCACACACACACATCAATTTCAAAGAGATGGTATTGGTATCAGCCAATAATGCAGAGCCGAGTCCAAAAAAATTGGCATCGGTGCAACACTACTATGAACCTGTTCAAGTGCTGGGTAAATGCATAGAGGAGACCAATGCATGGATGAGCCACATTTTCTGCAGCTTATTTTGGAACCAGAGGAAGAGCGTTCAATCGGCTGGAAATTTGGGTGTGTTGATGAACTCACACCTGTGCCTTTAGAGACAGCTTTATCACCTGAAGAAAATCTCCAGGATTAAGTGACTAATGTCTCAGCAACACCTTTATAAATTAATTCACGAGTTCAACGTTTGTAAAACTGATTACTTTAATGTTGTCTTCACAGGTCTGGCTAAGATGTTAATCAAACAGCTGCTGCTACCTGCATCCTCACTGAAACTAAGAAAGTGGAGCACAATGCCCCAGTGCTAAAATCTTCATACTCGCTCTCTCAGAGAGTCTCTCAGAGACAGGACTTTAAAGCACTTCTGTTAGTCTATAAATCACTGAAATGTTAGCTCCAAAATACATTACAGACTTGTTGTCCGTGTATCAACTGCCCAGACTTCTCAGGTCTTCTGGCTCAGATTTACTCTGCATACCCAGGACCATAACCAAACATGGACGAGCAGCTTTTAGCTCTTATGCTCCACAAACTGGAATACAATCCCAGAAAACTTTTAAAGCTCTGAAACCCTCAGTTGTTTTAATTCAAGATTAAAAACCATTTTATTCAGACTGGCCTTTGGCTGCACTAGTAGACAAAACTAGTTAAGTTTTTAATGCAACTTTTTAAAATTTTCTTTTGAATAATCAAACATTTTTTGTGATCATGTTATTTTCATTATCATTTTAGTCTTTAATTATTGGTGTTCATAAATGATTTAATCGCCTTTATACCGCTGCAATATACTTTTCCTTTTTTCATGTTCATTCCTTTGACCTGTTTAATCACTGAAATATTCTTTATAAATACACTTGCCTTCAGTTGCTAATAAAGTTATTTCATGTTCTTAGATGTATGTTTTGTGTTTTCATCTCTCTTTTTTTAATCAAAAGCTGATGAAAATCTCAAAGAATTACAATTTGTAACATACAGTTGTGTAATACATTAAATAATGATGTTTGTGATGATCTTTTTCCAAATATAATAAACCCTCCTAAAGATTACACAAACATTTTCAGTATTCGCAGCCACAATGTGATGAAGAAGACTGATTTTATTATTGCTTTCTTACTTTAAAATGCATCATTTAGTTAAAACCGAGCAGAACTGATAACAATGACCTGCTGTTATGCTCTCCAAGGAGCTCCAGGATTTTTTTTTTATCTCCTCAGAGCATATGGAGCTTGTTCAAATGAGACAAGCATTGTGAAGCCTCTCTGCAACACAGTCAATTTGAAATTACAGTACATGCAGACTCATCCATCTTTTCCAGACCAGTAGTACTCTAATTATATAACTACACCCTCCGTTCATGCAAATCAAGTAAATGAATCTAAGGAAGATTGCAGCACATCTGCCATGAAGCTCCACATTTTAAAGGCAGAAATGCAGACGTGCCATTCATTAATTTTACTGCACTCGTTCCTGCAGACAGGCTACAGTTACTCCGATTATAAGAGAGCGGAAAATGATTGTCAGGCTATTGGTGTCAGTCAATATTAATCTGCGATAATTATGAATGATGGAATAATTAATAAAAGTAAATTGGAATGTAAGCAACCTCCCACAGGTTCAAAGTGATGTTGCCACTTAGGGAAAGGATTTCATAGAGACGCAATTTTTATCTGATATTTCAAGAAAAGAAGCATTGAGTTTTTCACATTTTGTCACATTACAAATGAAAACCTCCTTGGCTGTAGTTTATTAGTAATTTACAACTAGATTTATCGCTCTGTTGTAGAATGGTGATATATCAAAGGTGTACCCTGGATCTGGCCACTGACTTCTAGAAATATATAGATCTCCCCCCCACACCCTCCTGTGTGACTCTGCTACGATAAGCCAGTATAGACAATGGTTATTTGATGCTTTTATATGATGTGTTCTTACACGGGAACAATAAATGTTGTAACCTGAAATTCTATAGCTGGTTTATCCAAAGTAAGGAAATATGTGACATTATTCACCTCAGTCCGATTTGGTTTCAGTTCTACCACTATCAGGTTCACTGAATGTGAACCTGATAGTGGTAGCATTATTCTGCCACCTCACGTGGAAGATTTTCAAGCTGGGTGGAGCAAATCCAGGACAGTACTGGTAGAAAACCCACCTGAGGCTGAAAGACACTTCAAACTGGGACTTATGTTTATGTCGGCTCCAAACCAGTGTTCTAAACCCTGCTGCTCTTTTAACTTCATGTTTTATATATTTTTCTTCACACTCAGCATGGGGATAAACAGTCATTTAAATATTATGTGCATAAGCAGAAACCACTCTAAAACTGTTAGGACAGTGAGAGTGGATCAGGGTTTACAAAGACTAAAAGACATGAAAAGTAAAGCAGTAATTATGAATATTTATAAACCTCCTCCATCCCTCTCCTTCCACTACTTTTAATGTACTACTATGAAGAAATATGAAAAGTGTGAGGGGTGTGAGAAGTTTTCCCAGATGCTTTAGTAGAGCTCAGAATCCCTCTAAGAGTGAAAAGTTTTTTTCTACTGTGTGAAAAGAATAATAATTTGTGGCCTCAATGTCCTAAACTGACTGGGTGTTATTTTTTTTTTCTTAAAGTCAATTACAGTAAAAGAAAACCCATCCACTCAATCATTAACCCTTATTATTAAAGGTTAATGCATATATACAAGTAAGTAAGCAGCTGTTTAACTGTGGCTAATTTACTGTGAAAAACAGCTTTTCAAAAGGACAAAAATCAAACATTTCAAGTATATGCTTTTGTGTTAACTGGATGTTTATGTCTGCTTTTGTTTTGCTAAAAATCCCTCAATTGATGAAAGATCCATTGAATTAAGAGTAATTTCTGCAGGACTGCCTAAGTATTCTGCTTTATTTTGTTATTTCTCTTATAGGCATTGAATAAAGCTTTTATGCCCCAGGATCTTAACAACTCCTGTGTTTCAGCTTTACAACATACTGTAGTTGATAGTTTGATTTAGCGATCAGAGAGTTAAAGCCATAAAGGGTGAACAATATAGAAATAAATCTAAGGTTTATGGTATTGATCTCAGTCTGTAGGACCTCTGGGAACCCTGAGCTGACGTTATACCTACATTCATGCACTGGATGGTGTCTGTTTATGGGGTACATTGCTGCAAAGTGCATCCACAATGAAGACCACCAGTATAGCTAAATCAAGCATTTTGTGATTAACTGCAACACGAAATGAATAAAGGGAAATAATTAGTATAAAAACAGGATTTATTGCAGGAGAGGAAACCTCTCATAGAGACCAAGGGACACAGCTACATTATGTACATGTAGCCCAAAGTGAGCTGACAAGTTTTTCTATCCTGAGCATTGTTATGTCACAGGAGAATTAGCATAACAAGAAACAAAGACACCATGTAAACGCTGAATGCTAATCAATATGCAATTTACTTTGCCTGTGGGGTTGAATTATGCGGCAACCCCCCTAAAAGCACAGGCTAGTATCGACAACAGTGCGTGGGCGTAACTATACTAATGTTCTCGTTTATGTTCTTTTATCTCTTTGCAGGATTGACAGTCCATTAGGGAGTTCTGGGTTTTTCTTCAGCCAAAGGCAGTAATTACTGTCCATCACTTCAACTATTCCTGCAGCTGATAATATCTCCACTTCATGGATCATTGGAAAGCAAATGGGAACAAATACAGAGTGATTTATTCCAACTGTACTTACATATTAGTGTTGGATGTGGAAGTGAGCCACTCGCCTGCCAAGCCTACGATGTCTAATCCAGTGGACAGCTGGTTAAAGAACCTGGGGTGTCCTGCAGGTGATAAAGAGAAAACACTTAACCATCTGTGAATTAAAAGAAGCCATCGAACAGGGGCGTTCTCAGCATTCCTACCTGTTCTCACTCCATATTTCAGAGTATCCCTGCAATCCACTAGAATTTGCTCCAGAGACTCTGGCTGGTCAGAGAGCTCCAGGTTGAAGCCCTCCATGCCCTCCAACAGCTGGTGAGGATGGTGGAAGTCAAGGACCTTGGTGGATCTATCAAAGGTCTTCCGGATGTAGCTGGTGAGGATTTCAACAACCTCCAGCAAGAACTGCATGGTTGGCTCCTCTCCATTTTTTGAAGGTAGCAGATCTGCAAAAAGGAAAGGACTTGAATTCAGTTCAGGTAGTGACTTTGAAGCACAGACGTGTTCAATTTATATGTACTGACAAAATATATATTCAGCTCAATCTAGTTCATAGACATATAGTAAAAGAATAGCATATAAAAATTAAGTTATAATAAAAGATAGTAATAACAATTGCACTTAATTGACCTCACATTGAAGAAATTTACCTCTGCTTTTAACCCATCCCCTTGGGGAGCAGTGGGCTGCCATCGTGGGGTGCCTTGGCAGCTATGTGGGGTTAAGGGTTTTGCTCAGAGAACCAGAGTGGCAGTCTGTGGGAGTGGGGCTGAACTCAGAACCTCAAGAAGCTCTGTGCCCTAACCACTCCCCACCTTAAATGCATTCTTTGTGTATTCTGGCATGTATTGAAAAACCCTTGTAAACTGGTTCATTTGGAACCTCCATTCTAGTCTATTGCAGTCTCGATTCTGGTATTGACTCCTCTGAAACTCTACACCTTTCTAAAAACTGAACAGCTCCCTTGTCCTGTGGAAAAATACTATCCTTGAGGCACTGCTCTGTGATTGCCATGTGTTATTATATTACTGGGGTACTCTGGGTGATGTTTCACTTCTTTCGTTTCCATACCTGTATTTTTGCTTGTAGAAACGAAAGTCTATCTTTGGTCAGATCAGAACACTTTTTGTGATTGCTGTAGACCATCCATGGCATGCAGCAAACTGCATTAATAACTTCTTTCAACAAATGCTTCCTCTTGAGCAGTCTGCAGTGAGGTGTTCCCCTCAACAGATTCTTCCAGAACTTTCCAGCAGAATGAATGAATCCCATTGATGTTGCATTTAAAGGCTGAACTTGACTCTTTTTGTCAGATATGAGAATGAGATGGCTAAATTCAGTTCCAAAGCACACTGTTTAGATTTTAGTCATAAAAAAAGTATTAAAATGTATCTTATTTTTTTATTGATTCATATATTGCATCTACTAAACATCAACATGTGCTTCAGCAGCATCACAGCCTTTATGTTTTGTTTATCCATCTTTGTAACTTTGATTGCACCAGCTTAATAAGAAATGCCAGTAAATGCAACAAGTCCCGATGCTTAAATCTTTTTTAAAAGGCTTTAAGATACTTTGCAGAAACTTACCTCTGGCATAAAGGTTGGAGAAGTCGGTCTCAGTCCGCCTGAAATGCGCATCTCCTCCTGCGTTATCACAGGCCATCAGGTTTTTAGCCGTGCGCTCCTTCAAGGAGCCCACAGTCCTGCCCCTCTCCTCCAGACTGTTGTTCTTCTGCAGAAACCCTGAACGATCACAAGTAGGAGACGTGTCCGAAGGATGGCCAAACATGCCCAAACAGGACAGGAATGTGTAAAAAGGCAGAAAAAGAGCTCAGAGAAACGTGTTTTTTCCTGCTTTTTAAAAAAAAAAAAAAGATCTTCTCCCCCCTGCTCTCCGAAGTGGTCTATTTTCAGAGTGAGCCATCCGTCCCCTATTTATATGCTGGAGGTGGAGGGGGAGGGGGCTCAGGAAGGTTAGCCCCGCGGTGACATCAGCACCAAACTCCAGTCAAGCAAAAACAGACCGCTGTCATGTACAGGCTGTAAATCCCCATTAAAGCGTGAGATTTTTCACAGCAGCTGGCAGTGGGGAGCCCAACAGGCTATATAAGGAAAAACCACAGGAGCGCCTTTCAGCAGGCCTTTTGGAGTCTATCATCAAGATAATAAAAGAATACAATCTATAAAATGTTAAAGTTCTGCATAATTTTGCTTTATTATAATTTTAATATTTTTTTTTATAATTGTGTGATGGTGAAGATTCTCAGTCATCCAGGTCATAGTTATTCCAAAAAAAGTAAAAAAAACAAAAAAACTTTGGAAATAAAGTCCAGTGGGTTGTTTTTTTAAACCTTTTTTGAATTAAAATTTTATTTACTTTTTGCTTATTTTGTTGTGATTGACATTTTATATCATTTAAGGTAGCCTGATTAATGGCCTTAATAGAGAGCAGAAAGCTGCGCAGCGCACTGGTGCGTGATGCGCAACATGCAGCGCGTCTTTGATTGGCTAGAGAGAGACTGGAAATAAACTTTTAAAGCGGAAATTGACTAATTCTATCAATATAATTTTGCTCTGTCATTTCTTCCCCTCAAGACTCAGTGGATAAACCCGGATGCGTTTTCATTGTGTTTGAAATGCTCTACAGTTAAATTATTTTTTCGTTTATATATATATATATATATATATATATATATATATATATATATATATATATATATATATATATATATATATATATTCGTCACAAGTAGTGACAACTACACTGCAAAAACGTTCTAGAAATGAGCAAAAATGGCTTAAATTAAGTGTATTTAGATAATATGCTTTTGAAATAGGACGATGAAATTGTTTTTTTCTTATTTTAAATGTAAATTGTCTTGTTCCATTGGCAAAGTGTCTCACTTACCTCCTCGTTTCAAGAAAAAAGCACTTATTGCAAGAAAAAAATGACTTATTTAGATTTCATTTTTTTGCAGTGTAGTGAGTAGCCTAGAGTAAGGCAGCACAAGAAACGTGCTGCCAAACACAAAAACTGTAGAATTTTTTTTCACTTTGTTGCTAAATCTGAAGATTTTTTTTTTCAGGGCAAAATTATCAGGATTTCTTTTTTGTTTAACTTTTGTGAAGCTACCTCATACTGCTGCAGGTTCGCAGTGTAATTCATTACAGTTATATGAGAATGGGAACATTAACAGGATGCTTAAAATGTGAGCCATTTTTTATTATTTGATTCATTTAATTCAAAAAGTATATAGGCTATTCTTCCTTGATAAATGCACGGTCTTCCACAGAATAGAGGAAAAGCTAAAGGGAGTTTAATGTGTTTTGTTTTGGGGGGAAATTGATGTTTAATTCGAACTGGAGAAATCTGGAGCCCTTTGCTTAAACTTAACATTATATTAAAATTAACACACAGGAGGTACTTCATAAATGGCATTTGACTGCAATTATTTCAAAGATAAACGATGTTTGGTGTATCATTTTACAAAATTAAATAACAAAATTATAACTTACCACAGATCTTCATTCCCAATTTCCTGGTACATCCATGAGCAACTCCACACCACGCATCATAACCTGACATTATTTATAGGGGAAATAATGTCTTTTAGAAATATACTCTCCTTATAATCATTACGTTTTGGACTTGCTTATTATATGGAAATGTGCGTGAGATCCAGTGATACAGCATGCAGGAAAAATAATTATATTTTTAAGATTAGCATTATTGCATTTATCAGGATTTCCCTGCATGGTCAACCGTGCGTCACCCGTTCATCATCCACGGGCCTTCTACATTAATTAGACGTTAAAGAAGGGACCAGCTTGCTGGACTGTTAGTGCAAAAATGCTGGTTAAAAAAAAGGGGCTTCTGCAGACATCAGGCGTCTGGTTGATGACAGATAGAGAATTACTGCGTTATCAGGGGCTTCCAGAGGGGATGGGGCACCTTGGATGGAAAGCAAAAGACACAATTCTCAATAGAATGCTATTTCAGGGAGGGGTGGGGGAGGATTTGGTGATCATTTCTATTCCCACATCCCATTTTAACCCTTGCCTCGGACCATTAGACAGATCATTGCCCCAACTGCTCAGCGCACCTTGACAGATTTTTCCCCAAAAAGCTGCAGATGGGTGAACGGATCAGACCGGGAAATTCATTTTGGGCGCAAAAGTAGTCAGATAAATGAAGGGCTTAATTATTGTCAGAAAAAAAGAGATAGGGAAATTAATATGCGTCATATTCTCTTAAAAATTCAAATAATATAATATCTCTTATGCATGACCAAATAAAAAAAATATTTCAAATTATCCTCGATATTTAAATTATTATTGTATTTTTTTAAAAAGCTTTAGGCGACTGATAACAAAAGCCTGGCAGAGCTGAGTGGTCTCTTTCTCTTTCCATCTTGTCCCAAAAGCTACAATGCTCTAGAGAGCCATTAGAGTCCGTTTAATGTGACTGAATTAGCTGGCAATCAGGGGCACCTTCATTCAATGATGCAGAGTGCATCCATTATAATGAATGAATGAAGAATAATAATAATGATAATAATAATAATAATAATTCTAGTAATAATAATGCCTCCAGGGTATGTTTTGTCTGCCACCAAGGAGGCAGTGAATTGTAGCAATAGACTTTTACCCCCGCCCTCTTTTCCTCCCTCTATCCCCCCCAACCCAACACACACACACACACCCGCCCCCCATCGACGAAAATGATTAATGGCTGATGGCCACAAAGTAAATAGCACAAGTGAAAAAAAGCATTTTATCGCTGATGGACCTACTTGAGCCCGGCGGCCGTAAATTTGTCGAGTTGGGATCCGCTCCTGCGACGGAGGAAGAGGAGGAGGAAGAAGGTGCAGACGCCGCCATCACTCCCAGAGACCCTGAGCCAGAGTCAAGAAAGCCTGGTGACTTTTCTATCTCTCTCTTTTTTCCCTTTTTCTCTTCCCTGCTTCTTTTAAAGCTGAAAGGGAAGGATAATGGTTAGTAAAATATCCCCAAATAAATATGAATCACTCAAAAAAACAAGATGATCATATTGAACAAGGACACATTCCGCCTCAGAAGTTGAGAATCCAAAATGCAAAATGCAATACAACAAAAAGTGCATGTCAGAAACCGTTATTTGAAATAATAAATCCTCGTTTTAATGACCTAATGTTCACTCATAGACACGTGTTTAATATTTCCAATCACAGTCATCTGGTCATCTTGACGTCTTCAATAATTGAAAATAAAAATAAGAATACAACAGAGGCAAAAGGCAAAGGAAGGTTATTAAAACATTACAATCATTTCACTCTCTGTGCCTTTAATGGAATGGTCCTAAAGCCTCTGAATGACAAAAGACTGGTTCAAGGTTATTTCGGGTTATAGGTAAAAAAAATAAAAAAATAAAAACCTAATAATTTAATTTGTTTTCTTTTGTTTTGTTTTCAGAAACAAGGAACTTATGTAGCATAAAAAGACAGCAAATCTGTACAAACACCAGACAAACAACCAGTTACCATCTATTAAAAGGAGTAGAAGGGGAAAAAAAAACACCTGTTAGAGCATCTCTGGTAAATGAGCTGCTTCAGTTTTCAATGTTCCAACTCCAAAATGTATAAGCCCACTTACCGTGGTGAAAAGTGTCCAGGTGACCAAGTGCAGTACCCCCCCAAAAATGAAAAAAGTGTGAATTTACAGCCAAAATAAATCCTGAAGGAGAGCTCCCACTACACCGAGGCAAGGAAGAGGAGAAAAGCTGAGCTCCAGTTTTCCCATAGATCCCACTCAAGGTGACCCCGATCACCAGTAGAGATAGAGCTTTGAATTCCTTTTATTCTAAGGAAGTAAACAATTTTTGGTTTTTGTATAGGCGCACCGGTGAATCACAGCAATGAGCTCTGGAGCAGCACCTGAAGCTGCTTCGGTGCAGCAAAGGCAGCTGTTTGCAGACTGTCTGCGCGCTTGGTTCCAAATGGCGCCGCTTTCGGCCCCAAAGTGCGACTTTCCCCGGAGTGATGATTGCTTTCTATTAAGGTCTGATTGTGCTCCTGGTCACGGACATGATGTTTGGTGCTAGATGGAAAAAAACACACTACGTGAGGAGGGATGAGGGTAGAAGAAGGAGGGAGGAGGGAGGAGATTTGGTTTTGTTCTGGGGAGGGGGGGTATGAGAGAAAGCACCCAAATATGATTTAATTAGGGCAATTTGTGTAAATGCATCCTCTCTGAAAACTTTTATTTCATTTTTTTCAACAATATCGGAATAGTTCATAATCATTCAACTTGATATGAACATGCGCCTAATTATTTTGCGCCCGTCACATCTTATTTCCATTCTTCAACTGCAGACCGACAGGTGTTGATATAACCTGCGACACATCCAATGAGCAGGACAAAATGTGTCCACAAGGTGGCAGTGAGAACCCAGAAATGATTCAGGTAGGAGCACAAGTGGGCCACTCTATTAAAAAAAAAAAAGGAACACCTTCACGGATCTAATTATACAACTGAGGATTAATCTGGAACGCCTCTGCTGCACGCGTGACGACAGGGACACTAGTGGACACAAAACCTAACGCATGAAAAGATCACACACTCGCAGTTTAGCGGTGATTTGTTGCCTCAGTTGGAGATAAATCGAGTTAGAGGCCGATTAAAAAGGTCGAGTCACATGTTGAGCTGCACACCGTAGTTAAAACCGGGGATAGATGGTTGGGGTTTCAGCACTGGACAGCTCCATTAAACTCTCCCATTCAGGACATTCAGGCTTGTCCACGCTGTTTACCTGCTGTGAGACACTCAGGTGTTGCAGTTTCAGAGCTAATTTGGCAAATAATGTATTTAGATTGGTTTAGAGTCTGCAACACGAAAGACTTGATTGTTATGTAAACAGAAACTAAGCTAACCAGAAAAACTGGGAAACAGGATGGAAACAGGCTTACTCAAGTAAAAATGGAAAAGTACAAAAGTCTTTCTTTATTCAGTTAAACACTGTAATTCTCCCTTATGTCTCAGTAGCCCTGATAATGAAGACGTAATAATCACTTGGACGTTTGGCAGATACGTTTGAAAGTAATTGGAGATCCATATAGAATATTAATAAACATTATTCATTATTATTTTTTTCTCCGACATTCCTGTTCATTGAAAGATAAAACATATTAAAGAGCACAGGAACACGTATAATACAGTTTTAATCATACATACAGAGACCCACTGCTCAGATGAGAGACTTTTTCTCAGGGAGGGACAGGATCAGGTGATCAGATGATAATGATCCCAGATGGAAAACCACCACCAGGGCAGAAGACTTCAGATTGAGGCAGAGGTTCTTGACCCTAAACACAGATCCTGTCTGTTGCAAAATCTACCTGATCTGAGCTTGATTTTATTTTTAAGGAACAATAAGCAGGTATTCTAGTCTAGATACTCAAAGCTGGAAATTGTCATAAAATTTTATTTCCAAACGTGTTAAAATAAATGGGCTAAACTCAGATGCATGCAAAATTTTTCCCTTTTTTTAATTTGTAAAATATTTTGAAGAGCAACCATCATTATGGTGTAACAATACTTTGTAACATAATTCTGAAAACAAAACGACTCATCAGTGGGCTGAGTTTGAAATTTTATTTTACTCCGTTGCTCTTCTTTTAGAATCATTTATAGAGAATTTAATTAAATATTTAAAAGAAAACAAGACATTTAAATTTACATTAAAATATGTTTATTATGTATGAAGTTTAAATGAACTCTGATCCCTCCAGTTCATAGGTCAATATTGGTAGCCCTCTCTATGACTCAGTAACCACAAAGTAGCCCTCAGGAAATGTTGGTGGCCCCCATTGTAACTTGTAAATAAAAGACTAAGCATATCTTGATAAGAACTCATTGTGGACTAAATTTTAACGATTAATTTTTTTGCTGCTCTTGCAGCTCTACAGTGGTAGCCATTCAAAATTTCCCCACTTTCCTTGATGGGCCCTTGGCTGATCTTCCTTGGTCCCTTACAATTCCTTTTTAAACATCAATCTTTGTACTAAATCAATAACTTTGTACAAAAATATTATTTCTGTCATGATTATCATATTTGTGGACAATAATATCTAAAGAGAAGCACCTTCTCCTGGTCGCCTGGTCGGACCCTGTAATACAGTGAAAGGATGGTTCAATGTAAAAAAAAAATGCAGGTCCAGGAAGGGGGGGGTGTTCTGTACACCAGATGGCTGGAAGTTGGAGGGGATTTTGCTGGGAGTTGCAGGGAAGTGGTCTTCCATTTGGCTGGAGTTTGAGGGCGAAGGGTCATTTTGAACGGCTGCTACTGTATGCACAATTTGGTGCTCTAGTCACAGATGCAGGTTAAAACATTTGCATTAAACAATATGAATCATATTCAAATAGAGAAATGCATGCCTATTTTACATTTAATCCTAAATTATTCAAGCTGCTATTTATACATGATGAGGATACTATCAGTAGTTGGAAAGATGCAGGTTGTTTTTCTTTCAAGTGTCCACAAGAGGGAGAACTACACGAATAGTGAGGGTAAAAGGGAGTGATTGATGATCTGCTTAAAGATGTATGCTTGTGATGGTTATTGTTTTCAGAGTGATTTAAGAACATTTGAAGACATCTCTCATAAAAAGAAATATAATCATAATTCTAATGTTCTTCTTTGTGTCTCTGTAACAGCTGGTGCAACCGAGCCTGTTAACTTATTATGTGTTCACAAAAGGCCTAACTTTACCATTTCATATGATGGGGTGATGGGGGGGGGGATTAATATCCAAAGGTAACAACTCCACCAATGAATGAATGAGATTTTAGTAAGAATTTAAAAGGCATAGATTAATTCAAAGAAAAGTAAAAGTTAAACACCTGCTGGGAGAAGCTGCACTCTGACGTGTGAAGAGAAACCTGCAGCTCAGAGCTGAGGATTTGGGATGAACTGCTACACTGTTAGGGAAGCGCTGTTTGATCTCACTTAATCAGGTGAAACTATGACAACATCTGCAGCAATCATGGGACATTTAGGGCTGAAACTAGGATTTTAAAATAAGTAAAGTTAAAAGTGTTAAAACCACGCCTATGAGAATACAGACAGACAACCTGCTCTCTCTTTTCTTTCCTTTGGAGACGGAAAATCCTGAGAAAGCTGGTTATCAATTATTGAACACAAGTTAGAGCATAGTTGAATTAAATAAGTTTTTTTCAGTGTTTAATGCTTTAGTTTTATTTTTTTTTTTATTTCTTTGCTACCTATTTGACACATTTACCCTCCTAAAGTGAAATTTTTTGTCTATCCCATCCCATCTCTTAATCACTAATGTCTATTAATTTATCTTTCTGTAAGGCTCTTTTAATTCCAATGACCAATATCTTCCATGCAGTAAAAGACTGGTCTTAATTTTGATGAAAAATAAATCCAGTTTACTGATCCTGGTTTATTAAAAGCATCTCTTAATGAGTTCAGATTTTAAAACTCACATCTGTCAGATTTTAAAACTCACAGGAAGGACAAAATATGTTACTCTAACCCCTTCAAAGGCTTCTTGCATTGTTTACCATTGATTTTTGAGGTTTCATTTCTTTTTTTTATGCTATGTCCACAGTTTCCCCTAATTACATAATTTACAAGTAGATTCCAGCTCGGTCATCTAATAGTAAACTACAGCTGTCAACAATCTAAAATGTAGTAGTTGCTGTTAGTCATAATAGCCTTGAACTTTGGAACAATGCCTGAGAGACTCTCTTGACCATAATAACACTTAAAAGGGGTATTAAAAGTAACTTCATTAACATAGTATCAAAGTAGGATAATATCATTTTGTTGTGTTGTTTTCAGTGTCTCTAAATTATGTGTAGCCTACTGCAGTAAGTGTAGTGTCAAACTTTGCATCTATTCTTCTACACTGGTTAATTTTGTTCATACTGTTTCTAAAACAAAGTATTCAAAAATGTAGATACAAAACTGGTAAAAGTGCCAAAACATGAGCAGACCGATTCAAAAACAAGTTCATATAAATTTAAAGTATGTATCACATTATGGGCAATGCAATTTCAATTATAAGCTCTTTTAGGGCAGAATGTTGAACATATATATGTATGCATTAAAACAGAAACACAATAGAAAGCAAAAAACAACTTAAATAAACAGAAACAACGTTTCCACCATGTCCTCGGTACATTAAGAGAGGTGCACCAAAGATTAAATAGGGAACTCAGTGAAACACTATAATATAGAAAGTTATAGTAAAGCATCATTTGATTTTAAAATCCTGCCTTTAAAGAAAATGCAGCCAGTTGTCTTGGTTGAAAAAAAATTATAATTTACCACTGAACTAATGTCAGACAAGAATGAAATCACTGTCAACAAGATGTGATTAGTGGCATTAGATTTAATCTACTGAGAAAGAGATTGAAGAATATTACACACTGGGGATCCAAGGACTAAGAAGAAAAGCCCTGGTATTTCTGCATTAGAAGTAAAGGAAGTAAAGATTTAGCCATAGTCTTTATTCTTAATGACACCATCAATGACTACATGGAGTAGGACTCCTTTCTTTCAAGTGGAAAATTTATCTGGTAGTCATCAAAATAAAGCTAAAAAGGCACATTTGGTAGCTCTTAAAATGGAGCCCAGGAGAGGTAGATGCATAAAAAAATCCCAGAAGCCCTAGAAACAAGCCCTGTGGGACACCACAGGAAATGGAAAAATACTTGGAAATATCCTTTTTGTGAACAATCCAAACCAGTCAGAGCAGTGACTTAAATACCACGACATTTCAAAACAAGATTTGAAATGTAGTTATAAATATGCATAAAACTAGATTACATAATGCTATGCAGCTAAAATGCCATTAAAATTCCAGGTCAATGCAAATTCAGTGCTGTGGTGTGAATAGAAAAAACAGAATACCTCTTTTTAATCTGAAATCTGCACTGTTACATGTTTCCTACTATTTGGAACAACATTCTAGAACAACAATAATAAGAGAAACAACCTAAGTGATCAGAGTGCATCCATAGGATGACCTTAGTGTCATGGTTTTGGTTCTGTTTAAGTTTTCT